TTGGCATATTTAATGCCTCTAACCTCTCCTCGTAGCTCTTGCCCTTCAGTTCTGGGAGCCACTTAGTAGCATGTCTTTGCACCTTTTCCAGTTTGTTGATGTGCTTCTTAAGATATGGGCACCACACAACCGCTGCATATTCTAGCTTTGGCCTAACAAAAGTCGTGAACAATTTCTTTAGTATTTCGCCATCCATGTATTTAAAAGCAATTCTGAAGTTAGAAAGCGTGGCATAGGCTCCTCGCACAATAATCTTTATGTGGTCCTCAGGTGATAGTTTTCTATCTAGAACCACCCCTAGATCTCTTTCTTTATCTGAATTCTTTAAAGATTTCTCACATAATATATATGCTGTGTGGGGTCTATGTTCTCCTATTCCACATTCCATAACATGGCATTTATTAACATTAAATTCCATTTGCCAAGTGGTGCTCCATATACTTATTTTGTCCAGGTCTTCTTGAAGGGCATGTCAATCATCTAATTTCTTATCCTTCCTATTATCTTAGCATCATCAGCAAACATGTTCATATAATTCTGTATACCAACTGGTAGATCATTTATGTAGACAATAAACATCACTGGTGCAAGAACTGAACCCTGTGGTACTCCACTTGTGACATTTTTCTAGTCCGATACATTGCCTCTGATCACTGCCCTCATTTTTCTGTCAGTCAGAAAATTTTTCATCCATGTTAGAAGCTTACCTGTCACCCCTCCAATATTTTCCAGTTTCCAGAACAACCTCTTATGTGGAACTCTGTCAAAGTCTATTTTAGGACCAGATAGATGCAGTCAACCCAACCATCTGTATCCTGTAATATCTCTGTTGCTCGATCATAGAAACTGAGTAAATTTGATACACAGTATCTTCCAGATCGAAAACCATACTGTCTGTCTGATATTATATCATTTCTCTTCAGGTGTTCTACCCATTTAGTTTTAATTATTTTTTCCAATATTTTGACTATTACACTTGTCAGTGATACATGTCTATAATTAATGGGGTCTTCCCTGCCTCCACTTTTGTAGATTGGAACTATGTTAGCCTTTTTCCACACATCAGCTACAACTCCTGTAAACAGGGATGCCTGAAAAATCAGTTGAAGTGGAATGCTGAGCTCAGGTGCACATTCTCTCAGAACCCATGGTGAAACTTGATCTGGACCAACTGCTTTGTTCTTATTTAGCTCCTTGAGCATTTTTTCCAATTCGTCTCTAGACACCTCTATGTGCTCTATGTTGTTCACTGGAATTCTTATTGTGTCTGGTTCCCTGAAGATTTCATTTTGTACAAACATACTTTGGAACTTTTCGTTTAATGTTTCACACATTTCCTTTTCATTTTCCGTGAATTTATTTCCCATTTTCAACCTCTGAATATTATCCAATATTATCCTTTACCTTTGCAATTTGTTGTTTATGAATTTATAGAATAGACCTGGTTCTGTTTTACATTTGTCCGCAATCCCTTTTTCAAAATTTCTTTCTGCCTCTCTCCTCACTGCCGTGTAGTTGTTTCTCGCATCTTTGTATCGCTGGTATGTTTGGGGATTTGGCCTCTTCCTGTATTGATTCCATTTTTGTGGCTTTTGGTCTCTGGCCCTCTCGCAATTTCTGTTGAACCAATCCTGTTTCCTAGTTCTGCATCTCTGTTTTGGTATAAATTTTTTTGTGCCTTTATCATATATTTCACAAAACTTGACATGCATCTCATTCACTTCCTTGCCCAGCAACAAGTCTGTCTGTTGTTGTGGGGCGTCAGTGGTACCGCTTTCGTTGTATCCCCTTCGGGTTGAACCTGGCACCTCGCGTGTTCGCAGGCTTTACCCGGGTCATGGTGGCCTGTCTGCATCTGTTAGGTGTTCGGGTGTTGGCTTACCTCGACGACTGGCCGGTTTGGGCTCCCAGTAAGTCGGGGTGTCTGCTTGCCAGGGATTTGGTGCTTTCCCAGCTCGCTGGGTTCGGGTTCCTGGTGAACTGGCGGAAGTCCCATCTGGTGCCCTCCCAGGTTCGGTCCTGGCTGGGTCTTGTGTGGAACTCTCGGGCCGCTTCCTTGTCTCTTCCTCCAGAGTCTCCTTCGACTGCAGTCTCGCCTGTGTCTGTTTCTGGGGGGATCGTGTGTCACCCGACTGTTGCTCGAGGGTTCGTGCGGGAGCCTGAACTTTGCGATGTTGGTCTACCCGCCTGGTCGGGTTTGGCTTCGTCGGCTGTTCTGGTTCCTTCGGGGATGTCCCTTCCGCCTCTCTTACGATCGCTGGGTTCGACCCCCGGGGGCTATGCGTCGCTGGCTCCCTCTTCGGGTTTTTCGGGGTTCAGTTCCTTGGCGCCTGCCCGAGCCCTCGCTCGATGTGTTCACGGATGAGTCGTCTCTCGGCTGGGGTTTTGTGACCAGTGCTCACCAGGCCGGCCAGGGGCGGTGGGGTCCGTCCTTCCGTCGAGTTCACAGCACAGTGCGGGAGTTCGCGGCGGTGTGGTTTGAGCTTCGGAAGGTTCGAGTCGCCCGCGAATCGACGGTCCGGCTCCATTCAGACTGCTCCCTGGTGGTTCATTGCCTGAACCGAGGGGGTTCGATGCGGTCCTTGGCTCTTTGGGGTTGGTCGCTTCGGGTGACTCGTCTGCTGAGTTCTCGGGGTTTGGCTCTCCTGGCGGTTCACGGGGGTGTTCAATGTCCTGGTGGACGGCCTGTCCAGGTTCGTTCCCCTGTCCACAGAATGGACGGTCGACACCGACTCTTTATGTTGGCTCTGCCGGACGTTCGGGCGCCCGGAGGTGGACCTCTTCGCGTCGGCGTGGTCGAGGCATCTTCTGGTTTACGTGGTGCCCTTTGCCGACTGCGAGGCTGTCGGGATCGACGCTTTTCAGCAGGACTGGTCGAGGTGGGGGTTCCTGTACCTCTTTTCCCCGGTCCAGCTGCGGCTCCAGGTCATGGCTCGCTTGGAGACTTACCAGGGTCGAGTGGTCCTCTTGGCTCCGTGGTGGCCGGCCCAGCTGTGGTTTCAGGCGCTGCTTGCTCGGTGTCCGAACCCGGAGGTTTTTCTGTGGCTCCACTTCTTTCAGGAGATCGGGTCGGTCCGGTATGTGACTGGTTCGCTCTTCTCCACGAATCTTCGCTTTTGGTTTGCATTTGGTGTTTTTGACTCATGTTTATCACCATTTTTATGGTGAGCAGGTGGGTTCCTTGTTGGTTTCTCACCTGTGAGTTTCCTCTCAGCGGCAGTATGAAGTTTCCTGGTGGTCTTTCCAGTTCTTTTTGACCCTTCTTCTTTGTTCCTCGCTTTCGGTTCAGGTGATGTTGTCCTTTCTCTCTCGGTTATTTCTGGACCGTCATCTGATACCTAATACTGTCGCCTCGTATCATGCGGTGCTGGCGGAGCTGCTGCGGCTTGCTTTCGGTATTAATGTTACTTCTGCGCCGTTTCGCAAGCTGTCTCGGGCGTTGTTTCGCCTCCGGCTGCTCATGCGCCGCCTGAGCCATCCTGGTCTTTGGACAGAGTGCTCTTCTATCTTTCCTCTCCTCGGTTTGTTGTGGCCCCTTCGGTTCAAGATTGTTTTGCTAAGGCGCTTTTTCTGTTGGCATTAGCCTCTGGGGGTCGCGTGGCGGAGCTTCATGCTCTTCTCCAGCGCAGAGGTTTTTGCTCCTTTGGTCGTGGTCTTCGGTTTGTTCGTTTGCAGCTGTCTCCCACTTTTCTGGCGAAGAATAAGACTGCTTCTTTCCGGAGGGGTCCTTGGGTTATGGATGCTTGGTTTGTCAGGCCGGGGGTTCACCATGTGTTGTGTCCGGTTGCGGCCCTCCGCCATTATCTGCGCTCCACGTCTAATGTGTCCGAGGACGCGCTTTGGGTTGATTCGGTTTCCCCCCTTCCCTGTTCGCGGGTTCGGGTCTCTCAGGTCGTCCGCAGGGTTATTAAATCCAACCAGCCTGCGGTCTATCCCCGTGCCCATGACGTTCGTAAGTTTGCTGCTCTTGCTGCCATATTCGGCAATATGCCTTTGGCTGACATTCGGGCACGGGGATGTTGGCGGTCGAACAGGGTCCTGGCTGCACGCTACCTGGTAAACGTTCCTGGGCTCAGTCGGGGCCTGTGTTGCTTTAGGTCGGCGGATGCAACCTGTTGTCTAGTTTTCGCGTTGAGGAGTGGAGCACCGACTGCCTCCCGGGTAAGTTCCCTTGGTTTTCTTGGTAGTCTTTGGTGAGGTAGCTCCGGGGAGTCGTAGGGGCTCCCCCCAGAAAACCAGCTTTGAATATAATGAAACGCCATTTTCTGGGTGAGTCCCGGAGGCTCCCCGGCATCCCTCCCGCCCTCCGGTCGGTATTTTTTTTCGCGGTTTTTGATGTCCAGCCTCTGAACTGGGGTGTGAATCGCTGCTCGGGGGTCTGGGGCTTCCCCTTCCCCCCTCCCAGGGAGGTGGGAGCTGCACAGACATGCAGCGCGGTTCGTGTGAAGTCATGCTTGTTTGCTCGTTTTTCTTTTGGGAAGTTCTGTCCACTCGTTTGTCAATTTTCGTTGTTAACCAGAATAGTGGTTTGTTTTGTGGCACTAACCTTTCTGGGTGCCTGTCCCGGTCAATGGCAGATATAGAATGCTCCAAATCACATGTGCATTTCTATGGGCCATTGCTCCCTGTGCCTCTGTGAAGGGGCCAGGTTCTGGCTCATGGTCCCCGGTAGGCTCGAACTCCACCCACATCGACTGATGCAAAATAGTTAGGTATCCATATCAGCTATGGATAGCTCCGGGGAGCCTCCGGGACTCACCCAGAAAATGGCGTTTCATTACATTCAACGCTGTTTTTTTATATATATATATATATATATAATATAATCCTATATATTTGCAGATACCAGCAGTATCAATTGACAGTACTGTTTATTATATATAATTTAAAATGTTAATCCTAGTTGTGTAGGTCCACACCAGGTAAATTGTGTATATGAAGTAGGCAAGTGTAGCTTCCTTTGCTGAGGTCTGAACTTTTGTGTCATTGGTGTACTGTAGGTGTATGGTCTGCTGTACAAGGAAGCTCAGCAGGATCCTACTCTTGAGAACTTCCGCCGAGAACTCCTCGTAAAAGCGTCTTCAGCTCTGGATAAGGCTCGTATGGTGCGGTATGATGAAGGGACGGGGTATCTCCACATAACAGGTTAGCTTCTATACTTGAAGATAACTCTATTGGAAATAGTCACTTTAATATATTTGTTACATTAAATTTGCGTGAAAACATTAAATATTTAAAGCTAGTAAAAGTATCAAAATTGCCATGGTACTGTAATTAAATAATAATACTTTTATGTTAAGAGCACCTTCGGCTCCCCGGAGCTATACCGGGCTGATGTGTATATATTAGACCGTGCCAGCAGTCAATCGAAGGAGTTCTAAGCCTACCGGGGACCAGAGCCAGAACCTGGCTTCCCTCACGAGAGGCACGAGGAGCAATGGCCTAAAGACACCCCCGAGTAACTGGAAGCAGTCTGTCTACCATCTACCAGGTCAGGCACCCAGAAAGGTAGGAATTCCAAAACAAACTACTGCTGATCAAATAATATGCAAACCAAAAGCCGAACAAGCAACAAAACTCCCCAATCAAAAACAAGGAATCCAGTATGACGTCACCACAAACACCACCCATCTGTCTGCGCAACCCCCCCCCCCCCCCCCTCACCCGAGGGGGACGGGGAGGTCCCAGACCTCCACTCTGGCAACTCTGCTCAGTTCTAAGGCTGTTGTGATGGTGAACAGTCGATCGCTCTGGCTCCACTCTTCGTGCTGTGCTGCAGTGCGGTGTTGTTGCACTGTTTTAGTGGTGTGTGAGCCAGACGTAACACAAGAGTACTGGGGATGCATGCACCTAGGGCTGCCTTCCCTAGGTGCCCTGTAAGTACTGCCTTTGTGGCTTCAGGGTTATCTTCCATGCGCAGTTCAAGAGCAGCTACCTCCGTGTGGTTCTGTCGCTGCTCGGTGATTGCCTGCCCTTGGGGGTTCAGCTGGGGTGGTTCTTACTCCTGTTGCCCTTGGGGTAGGAGGTAGTTTTGTCACTGTCTGGGGCGCGAGGTACTGTGCAGCTGTCTGATATACACATAGCGACCGATTCTGTTCACCTGGAGACGTGCTTTTGCGGGTTTTTTCTTTTGTTTTTGTTTTGTTTTGCTTGGTAGGGGTCTGTCAGGTGTGGCGGTAGGACCACTTGTAGGTTTTTGGTAACCCTCTACTAGGTCCCCGTGCTTACACATGTCGCAGGGGTTCAACTTTTAGATTGTTTGCTTGGTAGCTCTGGGATAACCGGTTAGCAGTACCTGTACCTCGCCTTGGCTTCTCTTAGCAGTCAGCCTAAGGGCCCTGGAAACCCCCTTTGGGGCTCAGTCGTCTAATGTAGGAGACCTCTGAATTCCACCTCGCCTTGTGCGGGTTTGAAAGTTACTCTGTCCCCCTGTCTCAGGGTGACACTCACCATCTGCCTCTGCCTTGCTGCCTGTTGGGGTCAGTGACACCTATGACCCAGAGTCCTGCGAGTGGTGTTCTTTGTTTGTACAGTACTCCATTCACCCAGTCCACTGGGACTGATATTCGGGTGCCGGCAGCTTTAGCATTGTATGCTAGGTTTAAGTTGCAGTAATGTGCGAGGTTGGTTGCCTTTCTGGATGCCCCGCAGCTGCCCTGCTAAATTATTCTGGTAGTGAGACTCGGGCGGCTTCAGGGATTGCCCCTTCCGGATCGGCGGCTGAGGCATTTGAGCCTGGTCCTCCTGCCGGAGCTTTTGGGCCACACTAGTGGGCACCCTTCATCCCTGCTTTTCCGGTGGACTCTGCTTTTTCTTCAAAGACGGAGGGTTTGGAGGACGGCTCGGCCCAGGGTCTTGACGTGGAGGCTTCCGAGGCTGGGAAGGAGTTGACATGGGGGGGACCTGGGCCCCACTTGTCCCTGCTTGGGTGTTTGGTACCCCTTGGTGTGGGGCTTGTTGTTATAGGGGGAGAGGTTTTCCCTATCCCACTCCCTGTACGATTTTGTTATGAGTTCGACTCCTCCCCGGGTTCGGTTCCGAGTTCCCATGGGTTCTTCGGTTCCCTCCTTTTGGAGGTCTTTGGCTTCCCGCATCTCACCGAAGGTGTGGGAGGCTCCTTGCGGCTTACCTACTGCGGGACCTGGCTTATGCCTTGATAATGAAGCTTTCTTCTTCTTGAGTTTGGCTCCTCTTTTTCCTTATTGGGTGCGTTACAAGGAGCTGGAGTCTTCCTGGCTGGCAGACTGCCTTTTCTTCGTTGGGGGCTTGGCATTCATCCTGTCGGACTGCGTACTTGAATGGTGAGAGTTGCCTACGGTCGTTCAGGTTTTCCTGGGGGGTAAGTTGGAGCACCTCAAGGTGTGCTTGTTCTCCCCCGTCCTTCCTTATGATGTCGGCTAGGTGCGGCTTCACGTGCAGGTTCCTTCCCTTCGGGCATCCCTGGTGGCCGAGGATTTGTGTGCCCGTGGGCACTTTGCTTCGGTCTTGTGCTTCTTTTTCCTGCTCGAGCTGTATTTTGGACTGTCTCGTGCTGGGTGTGGAGGAGCTGGGTTCCGTGCCAAGGTCCTGTATGCTTGCTTTGGCAGCTCGGAGGTACGAAATGTACCACCCGTCCACCGGGAGGCGTGGCTCGTACACCAGGCGAACACACAGATCGTACAAACAACGTACAGACACATCGTACAAACACCAGGAAGGCATACGGAATGAAGACGAAAAACGCTGAAACTGGAAGTAGAGACGACGCGGAAACAAAACAAGGCGAAAACGAAGCAAAAGAAAACATATGATGGACGGGAACCAACAAGGCCGACAAAAGACCCGAGGGAAAGCACATCGAAAATAAACAGGCATTCCAACAATATTGGAAGGTACAAAGAGACTCACGAACCAACGAGAACCACGACAAGCACATACAGGGACAACGATACGAAGCGGTTTAGGCACTATGTACTAGGTCTATATAGAAATCCATCAATGTTCGTTTCACATCCTTGTACGGATGTACCTGTATGGATGTAAAAATCACAGTTTTTATTTTTTTCTTCCCCCCCGAGAGCAGTATCGCGATGTAAGAGTGAAAAGGTTAAGGAAAAGGGGGTGAAACACACCCCCGGGAACGACGGGACCGACGAACCCGAAAGAACACGGAACCGAACCCAGGGAGGGGTATACCCGAAAACAACAGGAACACAGAGGGAAGGAACAACCCCACTCTGAGGAACTGCCAGCCCCCACACCAAAGGTACAAAGACCCAAGAGGGGCAACCAACAAACTGCTAAACGCTGAACCCCCTTAATGTGTCCACTCATGGGAGCCAAGCGGGGAGGTGCCATAGGCACAATCAGAGAGCACTGTATAAGCATCAGAGGTCCGCGGTTGTTCAACATCCTCCCAGCGACTATAAGAAATATTGCCGTAACAACCAATGACATCTTCAAGAGAAGTTCCAGAGCAGCCAGGCTATGGTGGGTATGTGGCCCTGTGGGCCACTCCAAGCAACAGCCTGGTGGACCAAACTCTCACAAGTCGAGCCTGGCCTCAGGCCGGGCTTGGGGAGTAGACGAACTCCCAGAACCCCATCAAGCAGGTATCAAGCAGGTTATACCTAACACTGTCGCCTCGTATCGTGCGGCGTTGGCGGAGCCGTTTCAGCTTGCTTTCGGTATTGATGTCACGTCTGCACCATTTTGAAAGCTGTCTGGGGCGTTGTTTCACCTGGCTTGCTCATGTGCGCCTGAGCCGTCCTGGTCTTTGGACAGAGTGCTCTCTTTTTCTTTCTTCTCCTCCTTTTGTTGTGGCCCCTTCGGATCCGGATTGTTTTTCGAAGGCTCCTTTCCTGTTATCATTGGCCTCTGGGGGTCGGGTGGGTGAGCTTCATGCTCTACTCCGGCGCAGAAGTTTCTGCTCCTTCGGTCGGGGCGATCGTTTTGTTTGTCTGCAGCCTTCTCCTTCTTTTCTGGTGAAGAATGAGACTGCTGTGTTCCGGAGGGGCCCTTCTGCTGTGCTCCGGAGGGGTTGTAGATGCTTGGTTGGTTCGACCGGGGGTGCATCATGTTTTGTGTCCGGTTGCGGCTTTCTGCCGTTATTTGCGCGCCACGGCTTCTGTGTCCGTGGATGCGCTTTGGGTTGATCCACTTTCCCTTCTTCCCTGTTCGAGGGGGTGGGTCTTCCAGGTCGTCCGCAGGGTTATTAAGGCTAGCCAGCCTGCGGTCTATCCCTGTGCCCATGACATCCGCAAGTTCGCGGCTCTTTCCGCAATCTTTGGCAATATGTCCTGGGCTGACATTAGGGCACGGGGATTTTGGCAGTTGAACAGGGTCCTGGCTGCTCGTTACCTTGTAAACGTTCCTGGGCCCGGTCCGGCCTGTGTTGCTTTGGGTCAGCAGATGCAGCCAGTTCTCTCGACTTCGGGTTGAGGAGTGAGCAGCAACCGCCTCCTGGTTAAGTCCCTATTCTTTCCTCTGTGGGTGGTTAGCTCAGGGGAGCCGTAGGGGCTTCCCCCAGAAAACCAGCGTTGAATGTAATGAAACGCCATTTTCTGGGTGAGTCCTGGAGGCTCCCTGGTATCCCTCCCTACCTCCGGTCGGCGGTTTTCTCGAGTGTTTTTACCATCCAGCCTCGGAACTGGGGTGTGGATCGCTGGTGCGGTAGGTCTGGGGCTGTCCCTTCCCCCTCCCGTGGAGGGGGGGCTGCGCAGACAGCGGTGCGACGACGGATGACGTCATACTAGTTTGCTCCTTTTTGTTAGAGGAGTTCTATCCACTCGTTCAGCTTTTGGTTGCAATTTTCACCAGAATAGGGGTTTGTTTTGGGACGCCTACCTTTCTTGGTGCCTAATCCAAGTTGATGGCAGACATAGAATGCTTCCAATTACACCGGGGTTTCTATAGGCCATTGCTCCCCTTGCCTCTCTAGAGGGGGCCAGGTTCTGGCTCGTGGTCTCCGGTAGGCCCATAAGAACTCCATACACATGATTGATGCCAAAGTCTGACATAAGCATATCAGCCTAGTAAGCTCCGGGGAGCCTCCGGGACTCACCCAGAAAATGGTGTTTCATTACATTCAACACTGGTTTTCTGTGGGGAGCCCCTACGGCTCCTGGAGCTTATCGGGCTAATGTATGTTATATTAGACTGGGACATTAGCTAAGGAGTTCAGACCTACCAGGGACCAGCACCAGAACTTGGCCCCTTCAGAGTGGTTTCAGGGAGCAATGGCCCTGGAAAACCCCCTTGTGGGTTGGGCTAAAATATGCAGCCACCGCTGCATATTTTAGCTTTGGCCTAACAAAAGTCGTGAACAATTTCAACTTTTGTCGAAATATATGTGTATGTATTCTTTTTCTTTCGGAAGGGGATCTGTTCCCTTCTCTGTTGATGGGGCGCTGGGGGAGCAGCTTGCTCTGTTGGCTCTTGCATGGTCCCGCAGTTAGTGGGCGCCTTTGGTTGTCTTCCGGCCTCTGGTGGTGGCAGTGGACGGCTTCTCCCCCTTTGGGGGGTTCAGGGCTGGCGGGGTGGGCTTCTTTCCCTGCGCTTTGTCATGTCCTCTTAGTGGGTGCGTTGGACGTGGTCGATCCGCCCCATCCTTCTGGGGTTCCCGTCTGCTCTATATAGACATAGGCCTGTTGAATCTGTGGTTCTTTTGGACTTCTTCAGTCTGCGCCCTGGATTCTATGCCCTCATCGAAGGACTGTTGTCTCCTGTCCGGCTTCCGTTAGGGCCGGGTGCCTAGATGGTGGCCCTGGACCTCCAGGTCAATTCTTGGCACGTTCTTCTCCAGTTTTCCGGGACTGGCACAGTTGGTGGTGGGGCTACAGGCCCCACCACCACCGCTTTTGTTGCCTTCCCTATTTTGTAATTGGCACTGGGTGTATTTACGCATCTTTACCGGATCTTGGTACCCTGTCTGAGTCTGCTTGGGATTCGGTGTCTGGCCTACCTCAACGACGGGCTGGTGTGGGCTCCCATTCGGTCCGCTTGTCTGCTCACCAGGGGTGTGGTTCTTTCCAGATCACCGGGTTTGGTTTCCTGGTGATCTGGAGGCCATTCCATCTGTTTCCTTCCTGGGTTCGAACCTGGCTGGGTCTTGTTTGGGGCTATAGGGCCGCTCCTTATTTTTCCCTCCAGAAGTGTTACTGTGGCTGTGGTCCTACCTTCGGCTGTTCATGAGGGGGTCCCGGGTTGCTCGGCGGTTGTTCGAGCAGTTGTGCGGGAGTCTGAACTTCGACGTGCTGGTTTGCCCGGGGTATCAGGTTTGGCTTCGGCGTCTGTTTGGTTCCTTCGGAGACTCCCCTCCTGCCTCTTGCAATCGTTGGGTTCGTTCCTCCGGGGATCTTGTGTTGGTGCTGCATCACCAGCTTCCTCTTTGGGGTTTTTGTGGTTCCGTGCCTTAGCACCTCCCCGAGCCTTCACTCGATGTGTTCACGGACGGGTCATCTCTTGGCTGGGGCTTTGTGACCAGTGCACCAGGTCGGCCAGGGATGGTGGGGTCTGTCCGTCCGTCCGGCTAACAGCACGGTTCGGGAGTTCGTGGCTGTCTGGTTTGCGCTTCAGACGGTTTGGGTCACTCGGTGCTCTACCATTCAGCTCCATTCGGACTGTTCTCTGGTGGTTCTTTGCCGGATCCACAGGGTTTCTCTTAGGTGTTTGACATTTGGGGTTGGTCCCTTAGAGTGTCTCGTTTGCTGGATTCTCGGGGTTTAGTTTAGTTCATGTCTGGGGTGTGTCCTGCATCCTGGTGGACAGCTGTCTCTGTTCATTGCTCTGTTCGCGGATTGGCCAGTCGTCGCCGACTCATTTCGTTGGCTCTGCTGGACGTATGGATTCTTGGCCATGGACGTCTTCGAGTCGGCGTGGTTTAGGCGTCGCCCATTCTATGTGGCGTCCTTACCCACCTGTAAGGCGTTCACGGTGGATGCCTTTCGGCAGGACTGGTCGAGGTGGGGGTACCTGTTCCTCTTCTCCCGGTCCAGCTGTTGCTTCGGGTTCTGGCTCGGTTGGAAACCATTTCCACAAGAGTAGTCCTTATGGTCCCTTGGTGGCCGGCCCAGCTTTATTTTCAGACGCTGCTTGATAGGTGACCGAACCCAGGGCATTTTCCCGCGGCTCCGCCTCTTTCGGCAGGTCGGACCGGTCCTGTACGTGACTGGTTCGGCCTTCTCCTCGGCTCTTCGCGTCTGGTATTTTGACGTGGGTATCACCATCTCTTTGGGGATCAGGTGGCTTTGTTTATGGTGTCCCACCTACGAGCTTCGTCTCGGCGACAGTATGACGTTCCTGGTGTTTCTATGCACTTTTTTCTTGCTCTTCGTAGGTTGTCTTCTCTTTCGCGTTGGGTTGTCTTGTCCTTTCTTGGGGTTTCAGGCCTACAGTTATTTGATGTTTCTTACTGTCGCCTCGTTTTGTGCGGTGCTGATGGAGCTGCTCTGGCTTGCGTTCGGTGTGGACGTCACATCTGCGCCGTTTCGCACGCTTTCTCATGTTTTGTTTCGCCTCTGGCCTGCTCATGCATCACCTGAGCCGTCCTGGTCCTTGATCAGGGTGTCTTCTTATCTTCTTCTCAGACTGTGGTATCCCCTTCGGTTCAGGTTTCTTCTCTTTGGTACTGGTGGTAGGTTTGTACATTTGCAGCCTTTCTCTGTCCTTCTGGCGACGGTCGAGACGGCTGCTTTCTGGAGGGGTTCTTGGGTTATTGATGTGTGATTGGTTTGGCCGGGGGTGCGTCCTGTGTTGTCCGGTTGCGCTTTTTGCCGTTTCCTGCGTACAGTGTCTGGGGATGCGCTTTGGGTTGATCCGGTTCCCCTCGTTCCCTGTTTCAGGGCTCAGGTCTCCCAGGTCGTCCGCAGAGTTTTTATGTCTTCCAGCCTGCGGTCTGTCCTTGCGCCCGTGCTGTTTGGACGATTGCAGCTTTTGCTGCTTTGTTGGTGACGTGTAGGGCTCATTTTGGGTGCAGGGATTTGAGGGTTGCACAGGTTCTTGGCCGCCCATTCTTTATGTGCGTCTGCTCCTGTGCGTTCTTGTTGCTTTGGGTCACAGGTTGCAGCCTGTTGTCTCGGCTTCACGTTGCGGAGTTTGTGTCGACCGCCTCCCGGGTCAGCCCTTTCTTTTCCTTCTCTTTGGGTATGAAGCTCCAGGGAGACGTAGGGGCTCCCCACAGAAAACCAGTGTTGAATGTAATGAAACGCCATTTTCTGGGTGAGCCCCGGAGGCTCCTTGGCAACCCTCCCTCCCACCGGTCGGCTGTTTTTTCGCATTGATTGAAGCTTAGCTTCCGAACTGATGCTAGGCAGCCGGCACAGTAGGTCCGGGGCTCCCCCCTCCCCCTCTCGGGGCGGGGAGGGCTGCGCGGCAGTAGAGTGTGATGTTTGCTTGTTTGCTTGTTTCCTTGGGATTGTAGGGAGTTTCTACCTCTCTGTTCAGTTTTTTGTTTTAGTTTTTTACCATGTGGGGTTTGTTTTGTTATGCCTACCTTTCTGGGTGCCTAACCCCGGTTGATGGCAGATAAGGAAAACCCCAACCACAAGGGGGTTTTCCAGGGCCATTGCTCCCTGAAACCTCTCTGAAGGGGCCAGGTTCTGGCTCTGGTCCCTGGTAGGTCTGAACTCCATACCTAATGTCCCGGTCTAATATAACAGACATTAGCCCAATAAGCTCCAGGGAGCATTCGGGGCTCACCCAGAAAATGGCTTTTCATTACATTCAATGCTGGTTTTTTGATACTCGGCCTCTGAACTGAGCAGAGTTGCCGGCGTGGAAGTCTGGGACCCCACTCTGTTCCCCTCCAGGGGAGGGGGGTTGTTGTTGTGCAGACGGATGCGGGGCATTTGTGGTGACGTCATACTGGTTTCCTTGTTTTTGATTTGGGAGTTCTGTTGATAGTTCGGGTCTCGGTTTGCATATTATTTGATCAGCAGTAGTTTGTTTTGGAATTCCTACCTTTCTGGGTGCCTGACCTGGTAGATGGTAAACAAAGACTACTTTCAATTATACGGGGGTGTCTTTAGGCAATTACTCTTCGTGCCTCTCTTGTCTCTTGAGGGGGCCAGGTTCTAGCTCTGGTCCCTGGTAGGTAGAACTCTTTCAATTGACTGTTGCCACAGTCTAATTTATACACATCAGCCCGGTATAGCTCCGGGGAGCCTCCAGGTCTCACCCAGAAAATGGTGTTTCATTACATTCAACGCTGGTTTTTTAAACAATTGTGTTTAACGTTGTTTGAAGTTCTGAAAACTTGTAATATACTGGACTATGTATTGTTACAGATATGGGACGAGTAGCCAGTCAGTTCTACATTAAGTATGACACCATTGAAATTTTCAATGAGTTCCTCAAGGCTGTCATGAATGAAGCTGATATTTTATCTGTTATTGCTCAGAGCTCTGAGTTTTCCCAGTTAAAGGTACAGGTTTTCTAATTTTGTTTTATTCTTGTGTTGATTTTGTGACTTCCAATCATGATATTTAAACAAGCAAGTTTATTATTCTGAACATCCTATTTTGATAGATGCCACTCAGTTATTATTGTTTACTTTAGTTTTGTAATTACAGACAAAAATAATAGATAATATGCTATTATTATAGTTCATTATATTAAGAAGGTAGGGAAGTGGGGAATGGTACAATAGTGCAATAGTTTTAGAATCTAACTTCATTTGGTCTTTAGAAATATGCAAGTGTACGCAGAGGTCTACATGATAACTATTTTCAGGTTCGTGATGAAGAGATGAACGAGTTGGACGACCTTCACCATCAGTGTGAGGTGGCAGCTATGGGGGGTGCAGAAAATGTGCATGGTAAAGTCAACATCCTCCTGCAGTCACATATCTCACGCATCAGAGTTGACAGCTTCTCTCTTGTCTCGGATGTCAACTACATCACTGAGGTAAATATGGTTTCTTGACTAGTACTGTTGGTCATCTTAGTAATACAGTACAGTGGAACATCAGTATACGAATGCCCTTCTTTACAATTTTTTCAGTATACGAGGTCAATTTCCTCATAAAATTTTATTCACTGTACGAGGTTTTCCTCGGATTTCAAGTTTATTGATAAATGTTTGGATTGACGAGTGCATGGGCTTCTGCCAGGCGCGGGGCAAAGCACACTCAGTTTACCAGTGTATCCCGCCTCGTGACAACCGCGCTAGAATTCTTTGTAAAGAATTTAATTGTTTTTCTCAATTTCTGTGGAGAGCCCCCAATAACGAAGACCGAAGGGGCCAAAGGAGCCTGGTGATGCAATGGATGCATAACCAGGCTGATGTGTATATATTAGATAGTGGCAACAGTCAATCAATGGAGTTCTATGTTTATCGAGACCACGAGGCAGAACCTGTTCCCCTCAGAGAGGCACGAGGAGCAATGGCCTGTAGACACCCCCATGTACTTGGGAGCAGTCTATATCGGCCATCTACCAGGTCAGACACCCAGAAATGTAGAAATCAAAAAAACTATAGCTGGTTAAAAATTGCAAACTGAAAGCCGAAGAGCAAGCAGAACTCCCCAATCTGAAAACAAGCAAACTAGTCTGATGTCACCACAGCTGCTGCACTGCTGCCTGCACAGCTCCCCCTCCCTGGGAGGGGGGAGGGGGGGCCCCAGACCTCCCATGCTGCCTACGCAACCCCAGTCCTGAGGTTGTTGTACTCACCTAGTTGTGCTTGCAGGGGTTGAGCTCTGACTCTTTGGTCCTACCTCTTAACTGTCAGTCAACTGGTGTATAGATTCCTGAGCCTACTGGGCTCTATCAGAAATATTGCCAGAACAACCGTGGACATTTTCAAGAGAAAACTAGACTGTTTTCTCCAAGGAGTACCGGACCAACCGGGCTGTGGTGGGTATGTGGGCCTGTGGGCTGCTCCAAGCAATAGCCTGGTGGACCAAACTCTCACAAGTCAAGCCTGGCCTCGGGCTGGGCTTGGGGGGTAGAAGAACTCCCAGAACCCCATCAACCAGGTATCAAATCTACATTTGAAACTGTGTATGGAGTCAGCCTCCACCACATCACTACTTAATGCATTCCATTTGTTGACTACTCTGACACTGAAAAAATTCTTTCTAATTTCTCTGTGGCTCATTTGGGTACTAAATTTCCACCTATGTTCCCTTGTTCATGTTCCACCTGTGCTAAAGAGTTTATCTTTGTCCACCCTGTCAATTCCCCTAAGAATTTTGTAGGTGACAAAATTTGACATCTCGTCATATTTTCCTCTTTGGTAATTTAGTCTTTTCCCTTCCAATCCCATCCTTGGGTAGGTTATCCCTACCTGTATGAGATACTCAAATGTCAATACACTGTGGTCACTCATTCCTATGGGGGCTTCAAATATGACTTCCCTTATTTCTGATTAATTCAAGGTGAATATCAGGTTGAGTCTAGCTGGTTCGTCATTCCCTCTCATTCTTGTGGGTTCCTTGACCTGTTGGCTCAGACAGTTCCTTGTTGCCATTTCCAAGAGTTTAACTCTCCATGTATCTTCACCGCCATGTGGGTCCCCATTCTCCCAGTCTATCTTTCTGTAGTTAATCATTGAAATTGAAATCATTGAATCATTGAACTCACCCATGATTAAGAGTCTGGATACATTCCTGCGTGCAACTGAAGATGCACTATTATATTATTGGTTGCCATGTTGTTTATGTTGAACTCCTTTCTGGGTCTTCTGTCATTTAGTGGAGGGTTGTAAATAACTGACACTATTATCTTAGGTCCACTAATTGTCATAGTTCCTGTTATGTAGTCTCTGAGTCCATCACAGCCCGAAATTTTCATCTCTTCAAATCTCCAGTCCTTACTTATAAGCAGGGCCACTCCTCCTCCTCCTCCTCTCCCTTCCCTCTCTTTCCTTACTATATAGTAGCCCTTTGGAAACACAGCGTTTGTTATGACTCCTGACAATTTTGTTTGGGTGACAGTCGATCAACTCTGGCTCTAATCCATGAGCAGAGCTGTGCCGTGTGGTGTTGTGGTGTGCGAGGCATGTGTTATTCCAGAAGTACTGGGGCTGCATTGGCCTAGGGGGTCACCTTCCCTGAGTGCCCTGCAAGTACTACCCTTGCAGTTTGGTGGTTACCGTCCACAAACTGTTCGGGAACTGCTTCTGCAGGGTTCTTTTGCTGCTTGGTGATTGCCCGCCCTTACAGTCAGCTGAGTTTTATCTACCTCTGTTTGGCCTTGAGTAGGCGGTAGTATCATTGCTGGCAGGGGCACAAGGTACTGTGCAACTGTCTTATAATACACATAGCGGCCAGTTCTGTTCCTCCTGGAGATGTCATGCTTTTGCAGGGTGTTTATTTTCTTTAGTTGTGTCTTGCCTGGTGGGGGGGACTGCCTGGTGTGGCTGTAGGACCACATGTATTATTTGGGTGGTCCTCTGCTGGTCCCCGTGCTTGCACACTTTGCAGAGGTTCAGAATTTTGTTTGTTTGTTTGGTAGTTTTAGGATAACCGGTTAGCAATACCTTGCCTGGCTTCCCTTAGAAGTTAGCCTAAAGGCCCCGGAAACCCCCATTGGGGCTGTTTGGTCCAATGGATGCATCCTCTGAGTCCCATCTCGCTTCCTGCGAGTTTGAAGGTTGCTCTGTCCCTTTGTTTCAGGGTGACACTCATCTTTTTTTCCTCCTCATGCTGCCTGTTGGGTCAATGACACCTTTGACCCGGAGTCTTGCGAGTTGTGTTCCTTGCCTGTACTCCAGTTCACCCAGTCCACTGCTACTGATATTTGGGTGCAGGCAGCTTCAGCATTGCATGCAAGGTTTCGGTTGCTGCAACGCGCTAGGTTGGTGACTTTTCTGGATGCCTGAGGCTGCCCCGCTTTGGTTATAACTTGGGGGCGTTAGTTGCCTCAACTTTGGTTTCATCTGCGCCCCCTGGTCCTTCCCCTACTGTGGTTTTCTGGGGGTGATCCCCTATCGCTCCCCGGAGCTTACTAAGCTGATACCCTAATGTCAAACTTTGGCATCAGTCATGTGTATGGAGTTCTTACCGGCTTACCTGAGCGCAAGTCCTTTTATAGTAAATGCTCAGGACCCTGGGAATCCCCTAGGGGACATATGGGTCTGATGGATGCGACCCCGGAGTCCCCCCTCGCTTCATGTGAGTTGGAGGGTTGTTCGGTCCCCTTGTCTCAGGGCGACCCCCACAGTTTTTGCCTCCGTCACGCTGCCTGTTGGGTTGGTGATACTTTCGACCTCGAGTCCTGTGAGTTTTGATGCTTGCTAGTGACTCAATTTACCCAATCTGCAGATGATCATCTTCGGGTACAGGCTGCGCAGGCGTTGCATTCTAGGTTTCGTATGTTGCAACGCGCTCGGTTGGTTGCTGACCTGGATGCCTCTCGGCTGCCCCGTTTTGCTTATAGGGACCCGGACTTGGGGGTAGGGGTCGCCTCGCCGCTGGTTCAGTCTGCACAGCCTCGTCCTTCCCCTTCTGTTGTTCGTTCTGGTCCCTCTCCCCTGCTTCCGGCCCCGAAACGTCTGAGGGTTTCGGGGTCAGGGCAGGGGTTAGATGGTGTTGAGACTCGGGCAGCCTCAGGGGATGCCCCTGCCGGTGTGGCGACGGAGGCATTCGAGTCTGGTCCCCCAGCTGAAGCCTCTGGGTCTGACCAGTGGATCCCCCTTCTGTCCAGCTTCTACGGCTGCGCCGGCCTTGTCCGGTGGGGTCAGTGCTTGGGGGGAGGACTCGGCCCCGGGTCCTGCGGAGGAGGACCTTGGGGCTGGGGAGGGGCTGTTCCTGGGGGCCTTGGGGCCCCTCTGGACCCCGCCTGGGTTTTTCTGCCCTCTGAGCGGGGCTTACTGTTACAAGGGGTGGGGTTTTCTTCAGAGGGGGGTCCCTCCCCTCCCCCCCTCTGTGTACTAGTTGGACTTTGTATCTGCCCCTTCCCTGGTCCGGTTCTGTGTTCCCCCGGGTGCTTCGGTTCCATCTTTTCGGAGGTTTTCGGCTTATCGCATTCAACCTGCTGCGGTGCGGGCGGCCCTTGCAGCAAGCCTCCTGCGTGACAAGGATTCTGCCTTGGCAATGGATCCCTTGGCTTTCAGGTTTGCGACTTCGTTCCCTTTCTAGCTCCGTTACAAGGTTCCAAGTCGTCCTGGCTGGCAGACTTTCCTGCCTTTACTTTGGAGCCCTGGCACTCCTTCTGCCATTCCCACGCGCTTGAGTGTCGGGAGGCTTCGACGGTGCTGCAGGCTTTCCTGGGGGGCGACCTTGAGCACGTCAGTGAGTGCTTGTTGCTCCTGCCCTTCCCTGGGATGTTGGTGTCGTTCAGCTCCATGTGCAGGTTCCCTTCCTTTCGGCGGCGCAGGTGGCTGAGGACTTGCGCACACGGGGCCTTTTGGCTTCGGCCTTGAATTTCTTTTCCCTCCTAGAGCTGTCTTCGGACTGGCTCATGAAGGGTGTGCGTGCGCTTGGGGCTGTTCCTGGTTCGTGCGCCTTGCTGAAGCTTTTCACGCCGATCTTGCGGGATGCAGTTGCTCTGTTTTATGCTTCCCGGCTTGCGTGTTGGCAGACGGTGCTTGCCTCTTCTGTGGAATCTGCTTGGGCCTTGGCTCTTAGGATGTCTTCATCTTTTTGTCCTCTCCTGTTTGAGGCGTCAGCCGTTGCGCAGTATATTCAGGCTGCTTCGGCTTCTTGCCATCCTATGTCAGACTTGCTGGTTCTCCGGGGGTTCCGTGGTGGGCCTTCCCGGAAGGGTCATGCCAAAGATCGGGATTTCTCTCGTCGTGGTAGGCCACTGGTGTCGGGTTCGGGTTCGGCTCCTCCTTCGAACCCGTCTTTGTCTGGTTGGCGTTGTGTTCGCTCTGTGCGAGGTACTGGGTCTCATAAGGGGCACCGGCCCTCTCGCTGTTCACCACATTGATGGGGCGAGGGGGAGAAGAGGCTTGTGCTG